CTTTTTCACACCTCTATCACCTCCCCTCAAAAAGACTTTATTCTGTCATCAATTTTAAAAGATGTTTATGCTTTATGGAGTTATTGATTGACTGATTTTTTTCAGTATATTAAAGTTACCATTACATGATATTCTGGTTTTCATTATTGCTCTTAAAAAGTCAGCTGTCAACTTTGTTATTTCTTTTTCTGGCCATCCTTTGTGTATTTCTCTTATTTTTTGTGTCATAGTTTCTTTATGATATATTTATTTTTATGTTTTCTGCTTTGGTGGTCTTTGGGCTTTTTGATTTGAAGTATTATCTTTAGTTCTAGAAATTATCCCTTTATATATGTCCCTTCCTATATTTTTCCTCTTTCTGTCTGGAACTTTGACCTGACTGACCTCTTACTCATTACTTGATCCTCTCACTGCGTCTGACTTCTCTCATATTTTCTATTACCTTTCTGGGGTATGTTCTAAATAATTTCTTAGGGACTTTCAGTTCATTAATGGCCCCTTGAACTTCATGTTATTAAATCTGTCCAGTAGTTTCAGATGTCAGCAATTGTGATTTTTATTTCTAATTTTTATTAGGTTGACTTTTAAAAAGTGTCTCCTTAGGTATGTTTTTTGGACTTTTCTCTGATTTCTTGAAGCATGCTATATAAACCTTTACCTGCTAAATTGAGTATCTAAAATCTTTCCAGTTTTCCTCCTTTTTTGAGACAAGGTCTCGCTATATGTTCCTTAGGCTGACCTGAAATTCTGACTCCAGCAGTCCTGCCTCATCTTCATGAGTAGCTGAAACTATCGCTGAACACCATCATGCCTAGCTTGTCTTTCTGTTTAGATGTTTCTGTCCCCCTTTTTGGGTGGGAGGTAAATTTTTCATTTTATCCAGAGAATTAATTTTGAGAATTCTTTGAGGCTTAGCATCAAGGTAGTATATTTTTGCAGAAACTGTTTGCTAGTCTCCACATTAAAGGCTCTCTGGGATCATAACAAATTCATAGATTGATTAGTTTTCCTTTGGGTTCTCAAAAAAAATTTTTTTGGTTGGAAATTTGCATAAAGACTTCCATTTGATTAGTCCCTGGCAGGACTTGAACTTAAGATGCTCCTGCCTAATAATTGTACATATTTATGGACTGCAATATAATACATTAAAGTATAATAATCAAATTGGAATAATTGGCATTTCTTTGAGTTGGCAAAATTTTTTTACTTAGTGGTGTCATAGTATATACTCTGCATTATTTTTAATGGCTCTGTGTTTTGTCTAGTAAGTCACCATAATTTATTTAATCTTTAGTTTGGACTGTTTAAAGCTAGTTTCTTTGGAATTTTGCTGTTGCAAAGTATGCAATAAACTGATTTCCTGGGGAAAATGTTATCGTGTTAAGTTTTTTTGTTTTGTTTTGTTTGCGGTACCGGGGATCGAGCTCAGGGCCTTGTGCTTACAAGGCAGGCAATAGCACCACTGAGCTAAATCCCCGGCCCAATTTGCTATATCATTTTCCAAATTGTAAAATATCTACTCTTACTCATGGACATAATAAACCATTTTTTAAAGATGCATGTAATGTCTTCATAAAAATAGAGAAACTAGGCTATTGTGTAACTGGTTACATTGCAGATTATGTTTCTATGTCTGCTTATTTAGGGTATGTAGATTTATAAAACTAAAAGATTCCTTTGTCACATATTAACAAATGTTCTTAGTAATCACATCATACTTGGAAATAGCTATTTAGAATTTAGCTTTGATATTTGTTTGCCAGTTCTTTTATTTTTGTCTCTATTAAATGTTCTGTGATGGTTATCTCAAAAATTTTTCTTATTTCTCTAAACTCTACTACTGTTCTGTCTCACTCCTTTCGATAACTATCTCTATTTGCTACTGTGCTGTTTAATAACTACTCCCCCACTCATAAACCAGTGGTTTGTGGCAGTTGATGTTTATTTTTCTCACAGAGCTGAGAATCGGCTGTTGCAGCCCTCTTCTACATGTTCTTTAGCTATAGAGCACAGACTGGCATTCTTGTGCCGGAGAGAAAGAAGCACTGGTGTAAACTGGTAATGCTTCTTAAAGCTTCTGTGGCATATATCATTTCTGTATTTATTCCTTGCAGAACTATGACATAATCAAACCCAGTGTGTCTGAAATAGAAACGTTTGGTTCTTCCTCCAAAAGGTGCTGCTGCTCACATAGCTGCCCAAGGTTGTATGGAAGAAACAAGTGACTACTTGGCAACAGTAATAAAATCTACTGATTTCTCCTTATGTTTAGCTAATTAAACACTTTATTAAAGTCCTCCTTTTAATGCCCATAAATGTAGTTCTTTTTTTTTTTTTTTTTTTTTTTTAAGTGAGTCTGATTGCTCTTCTTTATTTGGCTGTATGAAGCAAAGGGATGATTCTGGCTGGTTTTTCTCACTGGAGATGGGCAAATATCTCTTATTTGGGATCAGGCCAATTGAAGTTCTTGCCCATAGCATTTGACTTTCTAATGTCAAAGTTTAGAAAGAGAATCCAAAAAAGTTGCTATATGACTTGTCTAAGAAGCGTACAATAATTGAGGAATGATTCCAAAATGAAGTTCATAATCAGAAAAGTTTAGAATAAGGGAAGCAGAAGCCTGGGTAGATTTTGATGGTGTAGTACTTAATGCTTGCTGTTAGTGTTCTAAATTGTCACTGTGCCCTTTCCCTTGGACAAGCTGAATTTACTTAAAGTAGCTGTAAAGGATATGTAAACTGTAAATGGGCAGTGATAATAAATCTGCCTTTTCTCTGATGCCTTACAACCCATAAGGGTGTGTGGCACATAGTAGGCTCAAGAAATGTGTGTTGAACCAGAAAGAGGTCTCTCTAAGAGTCTTTTTGGCTCACAAATACAATCTAGCCATAGTGCTCCTTGCATATCCCATTCTGCTTCTTTCTTTTGTTCTTAGCAAGGTTTCTCCCAGATACACATACAGAAAAAGGTTAGACTAGAAAAGTTCTTTCTGTTATAAAAATGAATAATTTTACCAATGGTCTGAATAAGTTTAGCAAGGATAGAGTTTCTTCAGTGATTCTTCAGTACTGGAAGAATGCATAAGCTCATAATATACTTTTTTTCATAATATGCTTTCAATATATATTTGTTGAATGGATTTTACTGTCCCTTTATTTCATCAGTTATTCTGTCGATTATTTTTTATGCCTTTTCAGTATCATTTCTCTCTGCTAGTTCTATCTTTGCAGTCTCATGACTATATTTTCTTGAATTATGCATTAAATTATGTAGAATACTTTAATGAAAAGAATTAAAGTATATGTCCAGGCATGGTGGCTCACGCCTGTAATCGCAGCAGTCGGGAGGCTGAGGCAGGAGGATCACTGTGAGTTTGAGACCAGCCTGGGCTACATAGTTCCAGGTCAATCTCACCTACACAGTGAGACCCTGCCTCAAAAAAGCAAAAAAAAAAAAAAAGAATTAAAATATACGAGCTTTTAACTCCTGGAAAATATAGCCTATAAATATGTTCATCTCCTGTTGTTAAAGAAACAAGACTTTGCTGGTCATGGTGGCAGGGGCGCTTGCTTGTAATTCCAGCTCTCTAGGAGATTGAAGAAGGAGGATCAAGAATTTGAGCCCAGCCTGGGCAACTTAGACCTTGTCTTTAAAAAAAAAAAATTTTTTTTTAAAGGGCTGAAAGATGTAGCTCCTCAGTACAAAAGCCCTGGGTTAAATCCCCAGTACCACAAAAACAAAACAAACAAAACAACCACAACTCTGCCTTTAACTTTTGCAGTCTCAGTGTTTCCCTAAAACATTTGTCTCTTTATTTCTTATTCTCTCTGGCTCCAGGTCCTGAGGTAATATAATTCACTCCTTATATGTTGTGGATATTCTGGATATTTGTTTTCCTTCTCCTCCTGCTTAAGTATCTGATATTCTTGGGCTCCATCTTTAACTTTCTTTCTGTTTCTTTTTTCTTTTGGATACCCTTTTTCATGAAGCTCTCATTTGAATGGCTTTCATCTCTGTTTGAAGACAGATGATTATAAATCTGTGTTTGCTCATAATACAGTTTACCCCCGTGTTTTCATTTGAGTGTTTCAGTCACTTCAAATTTGAAAGGACCCAAACCAAAATCATTGTTTTCCTACTAGAGCTGATTCTACGGGAACCAACGCTTGGTTTTTTTTGTTGTTGTTTTTGTTTTTTAATGACCGTCATCAGGCTTTTTAAGAGAAAGATGAGGCCAGAATTTGCTCAGCGTTTACAGCACACTAAGCACTCTGCTTTTCAGTTACACAATTTCTAGGTCACGCTTTCCCTTACTGCTAGAGAAACCTCCAACCTGTCATAACAAGCCCTCTGCGACTCCTTATTCTACTTGCCATATATTTCTGTTTACACCACTAGGTGACCTTCAGGATATGAATCTCCTTATTTTGTTATCTTTCAGAGACAAGAATGTTATCTCATATTTGTTTTTATCACCACAGTACTCCATAGGTACTGTATGATTTAATAAGATTGAATAAACATCGGTAACTTTTCATGTGGAAAAGTACTCTAAATAAGGGTAAGCTGTATTCTTATTCCTTGAACCCCGTTGAAAGAGATTAACCTGTGGAAGTGGCAGAGGCTCTCACACATTAAAAAGCACATGTTGGGGCCGGGGATTTAGCTCAGTGGTTCGGTGGCCTGCCTTGCAAGCTCAAGGACCCAAGTTCAATCCCTGGTACCAAAAAAATAAATAAATAAAATAAAAAGCACATGTTGGGGCCGGGGATTTAGCTCAGTGGTTCGGTGGCCTGCCTTGCAAGCTCAAGGACCCAAGTTCAATCCCTGGTACCAAAAAAATAAATAAATAAAATAAAAAGCACATGTTGAACAAGTATTTATCCCTAACAATTCTATTTATATAGAATATAATCTCACCTAATTTTTATATTTCTTTGGTAAGCATATTTATAGAGGATTGTATTTATTTTAGCTCTTTTCTCTCCCTTTCCCATCAGGTGCACCAGGTATAATATCTTCACCATATGCAGGGCCTGCTGGATTTGCCCCAGCCATTGGATTTCCTCAAGCCACAGGTGAATCTTTTAAAGTTGAATTTGAAATGATTTTTAAATGAAGGTCTTTATTTTCTAGGGATTTAAAAGTTGAAAAATAAAAAAAATTTAAGAATTTTCCATAGTAGCATCTAGGCATATCAACCAGAGTGACTTGTATGGTTCTCAGCTTCCTTATATTTACAAATAATTATCTCTGACTCCAGTCTGAGCTCCAGTAATTCCACAAGATGCATCCCTTACACTTACCATTGGCACAGGTAACTGTAGGTTGACAGCTTTAACCTTAGTTAAGTTGTTAATTAAGTATGTGCTACTTCCATCTTGCTGGTAGGTTTCTTGATTAATATGTGTGTCATCAGTGCCTCTGAGATAACTCAGCATACAGTATGCAGTCAGTCAGTATCTGATTTAATAAACATATACTGTTAACTTCTTTAGAAAATCTTCTGCCATTGGTGTATTCAGAGTACTGTACAAGGATATGCATAGCATTTATATCAAGGGATATGTATTTTTCTTTATTTAATGGAAATAAGATAGTAATTAATACTTCAGTAACTCACTTTTCTATATAATAAACAATGAATTTTATCATAATTTAAGAAAAAGAAAAGACTTTATGATTTTATTTCTGTAAAGAAAACAGGTTGGTGAGTAGGGGAATGGCATACCTTGAAGCTGACTTTATATGTTATGTTTGCAGCTCCCAGCTAATTCATAAATGTAGCTGATTTAAAATTACAACATAGCTGCTTTCTGGCAATAATCTTTAGTATGTTACTGTTGACCTCAACTGTGGTTTTTTTTGTTTTGTTTTGTTTTGTTTTGTTTTGTTTTGTTTTGTGGTATCAGGGATCGAACTGAGGACTTTGTGCTTGTGAGGCAGGCATGGCACCACTGAGCTAAATCCCCAGCTGGCAATAACCTTTATACCATAACATTTTATCCTGGGAATTTTAACTACTTTTTCCAGTAGAGAAGATAGTTAAAAGGAAAGGTTGAGTTTTAAGTCTTAGTATTTTGGGGTTTTTTAAATATATCTTAATATATTTTTAAGTGACTTCACGTAATCTGTTAACAACATAGTACTGAAGCTCCTCAGAATTTAATTGGTAGACATGTGCAAGTAGTAATGTGTTTTTCCTCATTTTAGGTGTCTCTCTAAAACACTCTATAAAACACAATAATAGATATATAGAAAGATAAAAAGTGTGAGTAAAGAGGCTCCTGACTTGATAAGACTTTGAAGGTCTAGAAGATGATGTACACCCATACATCTGCGCGCGCGCACGCACGCACGCACACACACACACACACACACAGAGAAGGTCTAGAAGATGATGTACACCCATACATCTGCGCGCGCACACACACACAGAGTGTCCTAAACTGTACTCTTAGCTGATATATAGCAGACCTACAGACCATACCAGCAGTTGCAGGATTGGGTTGGAAGGGAATGGAAATGAGAGTCATGTAAAAAGGGTTATTGAATATAGATTTCATGGAAAAAGTATTTAACTGAGAATGTGATCTGCACAGTTTATAAACATTTAGCAGTGCAGATGATGGCAGTAATGATTTTCTGAGGTTGTCAAGCAGAATATACTGAATATAAAACATATTGCAGTTTAATTACTTGATACATAAGAAAGACATAAAAATGTTGAATTTAAAGAAACAGTAAATTAAGGAACATGCAGCATACATTAGATTATAAAACTTCACAAGGGGAAAAAATGAGAACCAAGACCTGTCATGTAGAGGTACAAGATCCCAACAATGAATGTAACTGAACTGTATCCCTAAAATGTACCAATAAACTCAAAAAAAAAAATTCATTTTCCATAAACTAGAGATTTTACCTTAGATAATTTTAAAGCTGAGACACAAATAGTAGGAATTCTGGGAAAATGTGCTTTTAAGTATAGTGTTAATATTACAGTACTACAAAACTTACAGTAATTACAGTATATCTGCACGGGTGCTCTGAAATTTTTCTGCTACAAAAGAATGTTGAATTCTTTAAATTTTGTTGCTCATAGTAATATTTATATAGCATTTTACAGAGTTACAAAATATTTTTCCCAGATAGACCGCCATGTGGCACTACCCAGTACACACGTTTGTGACTTCTGCTGAAAATACATTATCTCATTTTATGGTAAAAGGCAGTGTGGAAATTACATCCACTTATTTGGAAGATGCTAAAGTATATCTATTCAGGATAGAATGCTTGTAGTTGCTAGACCTTCTGAGAAACCTAATAACTTTTTTTGAAGACCAGTGAGTCTAGTTACTGTGGGGGTATGGTATGAATAATAAGAGTACCGTATAAATGATAATGTCAACAGATAAGGAAATCTGCTTCTAGACTACCTTGATGGGGCAGAAACTGGCACTCTGTGTCCTTCTGTAGCCTTGACACATTTTCTTCTATATGTTTGTGCTGTCTTTGTTTTTTTACTTGTTATATCAAGTGTTAAAATCCTCTAGATAAATAAAATGTGAACTGTTTTGATATATTTAAAAGGTCTGTCAGTCCCAGCTGTTCCTGGAGCCCTTGGTCCGCTTGCACTGACCTCCTCTGCTATCACTGGAAGAATGGCCATTCCTGGGGCAAGTGGTGTACCAGGAAATTCTGTTCTACTTGTCACCAATCTCAATCCTGATGTGAGTTGAGTATTACACGTAGTCTTCAGGAGAAGTGATAGTGGTTTCTGATGTAGGATCGTACTCATATTAAAATTGTGAAGTTTGTTTTAAAAACTTTAAAAAAAATTTATTACTAGAATATATAGAAGCATATAAAAGCTGTTTTAAACACAATCCATTGTCTTTTTTGCATTATAAATTTATTTAAAAATGTACTTGTTTAGTTCAACATTGATATTTTGTATTATCCTTTTCCAACAGCTTATCACACCACATGGACTTTTTATCCTATTTGGTAAGTTCATTTTTGTAATTGTTAATGCTATCTGTAAATATGTATTGAGCACATTTGAGTCATTAGTGATATTTATTGATTACCTCTGTATGCCAAGTAGTGTGTTAAGACACTTGAGGATAGACAAAGAATAAGATTTACTAAGTAATTATAATAAAGTTTTATAATAAGAGAAACAGAGATGGTAATGGGAGCATAAAGCCAGGAGTGCTAACCTGAGGGTATTAGAAGAAATGTTAAGCTGACTTGTGAAAATTGAGAAAGAGTCAAGTAGGCAGCAAGGGACGATAAATGTCTTTTCACAGATATTAGGGGGGGGGCAGGTAGATTGATTTCCTAGTACATGGGAGTGAAGGAAGCCCAGTGCAGCAATCTCCCTGGCCCTTTTGATTTTATTTTGAGACAGCATCTTGCTGAGTTGCTCAGGCTTGGCCTCACCCTCCCAAGTTAGTTAGGATTACAGGCATGCATCAACCACACCCTGCTGGTGATAGATTTTTGTTTTTTTTTAAACAGCATTTTTGAAGTATAGTTTACAACCATATAATTCACTGTCCAATACCACATCATCACTGCTGTCCAATTTTAGAACTTTTCCATCCCCCCATAGAAATTTTCATTAAAAAGAAAGAAACCCTTTAAGTAATTCTTAATAGTAAAATCATGTATTAATAATGCATTTTTATTTGACTCTTCTTGTCAAAGCATGTCTTTCTAAAAATAAATTTCTTGCTCATTTATAAAACATTGCCCATATCTTAAGAACAAATTATTGTGTTTAGTTTTTTAAATGTCTACCTCAGCCAGGCATGGTGACACATGCCTATAATCCCAGAATTCTGAGAGGCTGAGGCAGGAGGATCATGAATTTGAGCCAAACCTAAGCAACTTAGTGAATCCTTGTCTCAAAAAATATAAAGGGCTGGGGTGGTATTTCAGTGCAAAGGCACTGAGTTCAATCCGCACTGCTACAGGAAAAAATAAAAGCAAAAAGAAAAACCAGAATGTTTACTTCAGGAGCTGGTCCTTTCTGAGAAGGGCAGCAAATTTGAAAGATTTGTCTTTTTGTTTTAAATTAATTACACTTGATTTCTCACAACAGAGAAACAGTGTGATATTTAAATGTGTGTCCCATTTATTTCACTTAAGAATGTAGTCTCAAGGTGCATTCATTTACCTATGAATGCCTTAAGTTTATAAGTTTATCCTTCTTTATAGTAGAAGAGTATTCCTTTTTATAAACATCCACGTCTTCTTTATCCATTCATCAGTTGATGGGCATTTAGGCTGTTTTTAAGATTTAGCTATTACAAATTGTGCTGCTACAAACATTAATGTATATCTATCGCTGTGGTACGGTACTTTTAACTCTTTCAGAAAGATACCAAAAAGGGGACTAGCTGGGTCAAATAGAACCTTTAACCCTCATTTTTTGAGGAATCTCCATGCTGATTTCCGTGGTGGTTGCACCAGTCTACACTTCTGCCAGCAGTGGAGCAGGGTTCCTTTTTCCCCCACATCACCGCCAGCATTTGTACTGGTTGATCTCTTGATGTAGTCATTCTGTCTGGAATGAGATAAAATCTCAATGCTCTCTTAATTTGCATCTCTCAAATGACCAGTGATATTGACCATTTTTTCATATATTTATTTGCTGCTTGTTCTTTGAGAAGTGTCTTTCAGATACCCATTTTTAGATTGGGTCTTTAAATGTAGAAGGTCTGATATCTCTGAGTTCTTTATCTATTCTAGATATTAGCCTTTTGTTGAACAGCTGGCAAAAATTTTTTCCATTCCGTGGGTTGTTTCTTCACACTGTTGGTGGTTTCTTTAAAGTTTTTAATAAGATGAGATCCCATTTGTTGGTTCTTTGTGTTATTTCCTGTGTAATTGTAATTTGGTTTTTTTTTTTTTTTCTTTTTCTTAAATTATTTGCCTACACTTATATCTTTAAGAGTTCTACTGCTGGGGATTTAGCTCAGTGGCATTGTTACCTGCCTCACAAGCTCACGGTCCTGAATTTGATCCCTGGTACCCCCCCAAAAAAATAAAGTTCTACCTATTCTACCTTCCAGTAGATTTAGGGTTTCTGTTTTAATATTTAGGTCTTTGATCCATTTCAATTTTAATTTAGTATGTGGTGAGAGATATGGGGCTAGGTTTAATTTTCTGCATTTGGAGAGCCAGTTTTTTCAACATCGTTTCTTAAAAGAGGCTGTCTTGCAGTACCGATGTTTGACCCCTTTGTCAAAGATGGCTGAAACGTGGCTGAACGCATTTGGAGTTGTTACTATATCTTCTAATCCTGGGTCCTTTTTTGACTGTACCATGCTGGGTTGTTTTGTTTTGTTTTGTTTTTAATCACAGTAACTTTGTAGTATAATATCAAGTCAGGGATTGTGATGCCCCCTGCCATGCTTTTGTTGCCTAGAATTGCTTTTGCTATTCTGGGATTCTTCTGGCACCAAATAAATTTTAGGATTCTTTTCACTAATTCTGTGAGATATGCTGTTGGTATTTTGATTGGGATTGCATTCAATCTGTATAACATCTTTGAAAGTATGGCCATTTTCATTATATTGGATCTTGCTACCCAAGAACAAGGGGTATATTTTCATATAGCCTTTGATCTCTTTTTTTTAAGAGTACTGTAGGTATTAAAGGTTTTTTTACTTTCTTTGTTAGATTGATTCGTAAGTATTTTAATTTTTCCTGATGCTAATATGAAGGATGTGGTATCCTTAATTTCCCTCTCAGTGAGTTTGTTATTTTTGTACAGGAATGCTATTGATTTTTGAGTATTGATTTTGTATCCAGCTATGCTGTTGAATTTGGTTATCAAATCTAGAAGTCTCTTGGTGAAGTTTTTGGGGGTCTTCTATGTAGAGTATCATGTCTTCTGCATATAATAATTTAACTTTTTCCCTTTTATTTAACTTCTTCCTTCTTCCTATTAACTTTATCCTTTTATTTCTTTCTCTTGTCTGATTGCTCTGGCTAATGTTTCCAGAACTGTATTGAAAAGGAGATAGGACATCTTTGTGTTGTTTCTGATTCCAGCATGAAAGTTTTCAGTTTTTAACCATTTGGTATTATACTGGCTGTTGTTTTATTCCAGATGGCTTTTATCAGATAGAGATAAAGACCATCTATTCCAGTTTTCTGTAGGGCTTTTATCATGAATGAGTATTGGACTTTGTCAGATGCTTTTGCTGTTTATATTGAGATGATCTTGTGGTTTTGTTCTTAGCTCTGTTAATATGGTTTATTACATTTATTAATTTGCATATATTGAAGCATCCCTGCATCCCTGGGATGAATCCTACTTGGTCATGGTGTGTAATCTTCTTGATGAGTTGCTGAATTGTGTTTGCCAGTATATTAATGAGCATTTTTGTGTCTCTTTTCACTAGGGAGATTAGCCTGCCAAGTTCTCCTTTTTGGTTGGATCTTTCTCTGGTTTTGGTACCAGGTTAATGCTTGCTTCCAAGAATGAATTTAAGAGTATTGCTTCCCTTACAATTCCATTAAAGAGTTTGATGAATAGTGGCATTAGATCTCTAAATTTCTTGTAGAATTCAGCAGTGAATCCATCAATACCTGGACTTTTCTTTGTTGATAGATTTTTTTTATTATATCTTCAATTTAATTGATATTGGGTTATTTAGGATTTTTATATCTTCTTGATTCAGCTTTAGTAATTCATATATATTTAGGAATCTGTCTATTTCTTCTGTGTTTTCCATCTTATTTGAATACAGGGTTTTTTTTTTTTTTTAAGAAAAACAGTTTTAAATGTACAGAACAATTCAGATAGCATATAGTTTGAATACAGGTTTTTGAAGTAGGTATTTATGATCTGGATTTCTATAGGATCTGTTGTGATTTCACCCTTTTCATTCTTAATTGCATGGGTATGAGTCTTTTTCCCTTTTTTTGTTAAGTTTGTCTAGGGGCTTGTCAATTTTATTTAATCTTTCAAAGAACTTTGATTTATTATCTTTTGCATTGTTCTCTTGGTCTTGATTGCATTAATTTCTACTCTGATCTTTATAATTTCCTCCCTTCTCTGAGCTTGGGTATTGACTTGTCCTTTTTTTTTTTTAGAATTTTAAGGTTCAACATTAAATTTTTTGAGCGCACTCTGTATTTCTTATGTAGGAATTCCACACTGTGCGTTCTCTCTTAGGGTAGCTTTCATTGAGTCCCATAAATTCTGGTATGTTTGTATTGGCATTTCATTTAATTTTAGAAATGGTCTAATTCCTTCTTTAATTTCATCTGTGACCCATTGGTTGCTCAGGAGGGTGTTATTTTAAATTCCATTTGTTTCTGTATTTTTTTGTGGTTTCTTTTGCCCTTGATTTCCAGTTTCATCGCACTGCAGTCTGATAATTTTCATTTTCTTTGGGTTTACTTAAGTGTGTTATATGAGCTAATATGAGGTGTATTTTGGAGAACATCTCATGCAGCTGAGAAGAATCTGTATTTTGATATTGTAGGGTAGAATATACTGTAGACATATACTAAGTCCATTTGTTCAAAGGATTGTTTCATTTCTGATATTTCTTTGATTTTTGGGTCTAGTTGATCTATTTCTGACAATGGGGTATTGGAGTCCCTCATTACAACTGTGTTATAATTACAACTGTGTCATGTCCATTAATATTTGTTTTATATAGTTGGGTGTACCAGT